CTCGAAATAATTCTAAGCAGTAATAGATTCAAAATATAGCTCAACTCACTAAATCTGTATCCAATGTATTCAAACCCGTTGCAAAAGAAGTTGTACACCTGAAAGCAAATAAATTTAAAAAAAGAAACTGTCATATTGTTATCAATACCTGATCGAAAACGTCCGTTCGTAACTACTATTCCGCCACGGCGTATGCGTGGGCAAAATCTGTTAGACGACAGCAAGAGTTGACTATATTTTCTCCTCTTGTGTAAACAAACGAGGCACCGCCCTCAGGAGTGCTTAATTCTCGCCCCTTGAAATTGCGCACCAATCATATCAGCACTAACATTCTAAGTGCTAGCGAGTGGTCAACGCGTTTATCTCCCCGAATCGAGGTTGCCCAAGATTGCGAAGATAAAATTTCATTCCTATTTGGGGGGGGGGGCAAGAGAAAATCGAGAACTCGCTGAGGGGGGAAATGAGCACAAAATAAATATTCGGTCTCAGGGATGGAATGAGACATACGCCAAGTTAGTAGAGATTCTGAAAGACTCCTCTGTACCCACCGCCGCCATTTCTAAAAGGCTCCGTAGATATGGTGACAAACACACTAGGAAGCGCTACTGCTAGACCGCAGGATATTTTAAAGAATGATCCAGCGCTATAAAAAAGTGAATTTGAACTGTCATTGAATACACTAGTGTCGAACTGCCTTTAACCAAAGATGAGGTTGATGACAAATCCTACTGGGGTTAATTCGGATTTCCGAATTAAGAAAGCTTCCAACTCCATGGAGTAAGACACCCCGTCAAGCTAATAAATATAATTATAAGACTATACTTTATCTATTGCATGACCACAAAATTCACCATTTTTGTTCTGTGACAATTTCAAGCACCAAGTTCAAACTTTTCCGTTAGATCGCTATAGAGGAAACTGATTTTTGATGTTTTTTTACAAGAATCACTACACTTTCACGAATACTACTTTAAAACTTGCATTATTGCTCGCATTCGTTCAATACATTTATCCGTTTCGCTGTGTTTTGAAATCATACTTGTATTTCTTCTTTTTCACTGCCACGAACACTACAAAATCTCTTTCAATTTATCCGTAATGAATTATTGTATATATTTTATTTTCAATTTTGTAGAATCCTTGTGTTTGTAGACAAGCAGAACATGAAATTCCAGTACCATGACAATTTATTCGTTTTGCATATTATTGCACATACCTCATCAGAAACTTTTAGAGTGTTTAAATCAATATAAAAACGAGAAAACATTGCTAATCAACATTACTCCAAGGCTATTAAACTATAACAAATAAAGTAAGGCAATTGATAAGGGAATACAAATGTCCATACTGGGAAAGGCACTGACCATATTAATTGAATAAAATTTGTTTGGCAAATCTAATGATATTTTTTTTTTTTATTTATATGATTGCGTTCTTGTGGTAAAACAGCTCACTCCATATGGGATTGTCAAGAGCCATCTTGCAGGGATACTTTCATAGTACATAGTACTTACTTGCAATACTTCGGTCGAGCCTTTCACATTGTAATACAGTTTAGGCCTTAGGCAAGTATAGCCTAATTTATCTAATGCATTACTTGCCTAAGGCCTACGATTAAATTATACTTTGTCGGGTGACTTGCTAATAACGTGGTGTAGTCCGAGTATTTATTTATCAAAATTCTATACTAAACAGCTCTGTCCGTGTCCATCCCGCTCCTCCACCGGCTTATTTGGCTCACATCTCACTGTAGGGCCTCTGAGTAACCCTCCGTGACTCGGTTAGCGTGCTCGCATTCCACGGCGCAACCCCGGGTTCGATTCCCGGTCGGGGCAAAATAATAACTGTGCGCTTTTCGTACAAGTGTCGCAGTACCTATTGCTGTGTGATTATGTGAAAGCCCAACCTATGATTATAAAGGCCAGAATATTCGGTGAAGGGATGACTTCGAACTAACCACACGAATCTATCATGAAACCGAGGGACTGGGTCACCGCTATTCGGCGAAGGCTCCTAGCGGGCTGCCAAGCCACAGGACAGGAGAGCCTCTGACCGAGACCTGTACACTGAAGAGTACGAGCCCTGACGGTGGCGAATTTTCGATACTAAGTACATACGAGGTACTAGGTAGAATTCAACCACTGTATTGAGGAGAATTCCGACGCCCCTGCTCTCTGGTTGATAGTTTCCCGTGATTTCTCCTATCAATATCAGGCGTATGCCGAAAAAAATGCCCTAACAAACGCGCCACGGGCCGCGTATAATTTTCCCCTCCTCATCCTGGTTCTCTCACCTTTCCTACCACACACACACACACACACAAACACATTTACACTTACATGCACTACACTACCACATGTTAGGAGACCAGTCGGTGGCTTAAACCTGGTCCCGGTTGGAGCGGTTCCCCGCTGAGGGGGAAGATGACTGGAGGGGTCAACGCCAGATCTCACTACACTGTGATCTAATCTTACAAAACGTTTTAAGAAGAAAAAAACTAGATGAATCCGCAAAAGTGTTCCCAGCAAAAAATATTTGGGGCGGCTGCGACGCGAACCTAGACACCTAGGTTCCGTAAACTATGTCCTTGCATACAACAGTGTATCTCGAGGTGGAGTTAAGGAAATGGTATGAAATAGTTCGCTTTTACATTTCAGTAAATTCAAAGAATCCCGAAAACTATTTAAATTTCGATATAAAAATAAATTGAAGAATAATATTTTTAAATCGAATATTCAAGTACATTGCATTAAGAAAGTAATCTCTAGCTTCAATATTTAAAGAGTAAGACAGGTTTGAGAATCATATGATCTTCGATTACAATAGAATACAAAATTACTCGAAAACTTCTGTTAAAAAAAGTGTTCTCAAAATTATTTCCCTCATGAAACGTGTACTCTCAAAAATTAAAATATGTATTTCAAATCTGAGGGGCCATGGCATCAGTTAGATCAAACGGGGAATATAAATTTTGTTGAAAATCTTACGTTTATTAAAACCATTTTTTTGGTATCTAGGTCCCACAAAATGTGTGTTCTGATTACACAAAAAAAATCCAGAAACAGAAACAGAGAAGTTTTTCTTCCTAAAAATCGGCTTTTTTTCCTATTGGATTACACATTTCTCTAGTTGTATACAAGAAAGTAAAAATGAAGGGAAAAAATATAATCTTGTTTAAGTATAGAGAATTACTAATTGTGCTTTTGTGAGTCCATACTGATGTTTAGGATGGCCTACACTAATGAATAAATTATTAGCATTGCCAATTTCTTCTGTCTCATTGTTACGTCTTCTTGACATAATTGTAAGTTTCTATGTTGTTTTTTTCTGCTTTCTATTTTGATTTACAACAACATTCCACATCATCCCTGATTTATTTCTTGGGATTATTTATTTTCATATTTTGTCAATTATTTTTAAATTTTGTTATTGCCTTCTCGTAGAGTTTCTTATAATTTCTGTGTTGTACTCTATAGCATTATAAATCTCATAACATATTTTCACTCTCTCAGGAATTTTATTTTTATGATTCCCAAAAATTCAATGCCTGATTCCAATTTACTGAATATACAGAGTTAAGATGCTTATTAGAAACATTTAGATATATTTCCTGTTTTTTGTTAGAAATTTGTTTAGAGTGTAAGTCCATTCTTATTTTCCAGTATTTATTTACTTTATTTAATATTTATGATTATTTCTCATTTCAGATTTGTTCAATCTTCAATTTCATGACTGAGAAATGTTCATGGTAATTAATGAATGTGCAAATTATTTGTCACCTTTTTGGAGTTTCAAATACATTAGGAATTTGTTCAGAAAAAGGAATTGTCATCCCTGGTGTGATTTTGTTACTGTGAAACAAGATAATTTTTTACTTCTAATTGTTGAAAGAACTAGTCACCTTCATTAGGACTGAAATATGGGTGTTCTGGTTTACACTCAGTTCCTTTTACCACAAAGTTTCCAAATAATTAAGTTCTTGAGAATTTCAAAGGAACTTGCCATTCCTGAACATGAGTTTATAATTATTTCAAGTATTCTAGAAACTTCATCATACTACATTGAATTTCAAATACAAGCAAATATTCTTAATAGTACATGAATACTTGGCAATAAAAAATAAATAAACATACAAAATCAATCTACATAATACGTTTTCCACAAAAAACAACAACAAAACATTCTGCTGTATTCATTGAAAATATTAGATATACACAAGTATAAATATTCACTTCACATAGTAGTGTAAAATGTTGTTATAAACGTCTTGCCGTCGCTAATATAAATCTTACCCCCACCCTAATACAAAACATGGCTGCATCTATGTTCCAATACATTGATTATGTTGAAGACTTTTGACAAAGCCACACAAATATTATGAATTCATGAATGAAAACTTTATATTGAATAAAAGTGTCTATTTTCAACCAAATTGCTAAAAGAAAAATCCATATTGTGAGTAGGTACATTTATATAATCTGTAAAAACAGACTGCTAGATGATTTCACAATAAAACTGATTACAAAATGAAGCAAATTCCACAACACGTACTAAGATAAATGTGAGTACACTCCAGTACAGTCTAATTTCTAGGACATAAATTAGTAGGGTGAGCTTTTTCTATTTCTTTGTCTTTTAATAGACAATGATGAGAAAACACCATCCAATCATGTTTAAGGCATATCTTTTATTTTACTTTAATATGAATAGTTAATTGACATTCACTACATTACATTATGTGGTTTTTCTTTCCTTTTTAACTCTTTCACATTATATTATTAATATTAATATTAATGTATTGTTATATATTTGAAAGTCAAAGTCTTTAGGAAATCATAGCAATATGCAAAATACTATATTTTCATTATATCAAATAGATGAAAATAATGTAAATACGAATAAGAGGAAATGTGACACAGGGCACAATGAAATTAAATCTTTTTTAAAAAACAATATTTTTATTATTACAAGTAAAGTAAATAGAGTATATTTCATTAATATTCTCTATTTGTAATTACAAATGTGGGCAAACAGTGAATTTGAACATAGAAAACATTATATTTCTGACATAACAAATTTTAAATTTTGCAGTGTTCAACATCACATAACATGTTATCAGCAATAGGTATTGAATAAATCACATTAAATGATATCCAGTTACCATAATATTTTCCCACATGGGTACTGATCAAACTTAACTTTATTTATTACTCACATCAATATATTTTTTGGAACTTATGATATATGTTATTTTCAAGTCATACGAAGAAAACTCTGAACGGTATTATCTTAAAATTTTTTGATATTCTGTAATGATATGAAGTCATGATTGACCATAATGCAACTTTTTATGTTACAAACCTGCAAACATAAACAACTTATTACACATTGCTGTATAGATAATATGTAAAGGTTTTAATAAGATCAAAAATTGTTTGAATATCTTTCATTAAATATAGATAAAAATAAGAGAAAGAAACACGAAAAAAGAAAGGAGGTAAGAAATATTTTGTTCAAAATAAGACAAATCCAGGACCGAAACTGACAAAGTATTCAGGTTAAAAATGTTACAACAAGAAAGTAGGCTGAATTTGTTTACAAATTTCAATGTCTATTGAGATGGATTAAAAAGTTCTGTTCCTCCAAGGAATTAAATAGTTAATGTCAAAATGAAAATATTTCATTACATTTAAAAAAAATTTACCCCAGCTTGAAGAAGAGCAGATGTGAAACATCTTGCTTTCTCCCAACATTTTTTAATATAATTTAAATTTCTTTATTGACCCTTGCCTTTGCGACAAGGATGCCGTTGGCTTGAAATAATAAAATTCACAGCAATTGTGCTACCTTCTCCCTTGAACTACTTCATTTATCCTAGCAATGATATGACTTATTATAGCTATAACGTAACATAGCTCAAGTGGTTGGTGGGTACACGTAATAAGTTACCCATTCAGATTTCAATGAGAATAAACAAGGAGTGTCTTTTCAAAGCAAATTATGTCCACTCTTGAACCAAAATGAGTTAGACATCTCTGTGAACTAACACTCCCTGAATATACTCATTAATTGTAATATTGTACGTTTTTCTATTCTATAATAAGTGAATAACACTAGAGTAAATTGTGTTTTTTTATTTTATTCAACATCCATCCAACACTACCAAATGTGCAATAAAAAAATCTTAGATATTTATTTTCCCTTATAGCAAACCAATTACATATACCAATTTTTAACCATATTATACAACCACTGTAATAACATAATTTTAAAAAACTGAAATGGTTTAATTCCCTAAATACACCAACTTGAGATGTTTAATGATAAATTTTAGACTTGCCAGTTTGTATAAAACACTCCTAATATAAAAGTACCATGTTTTTTGCATTTCTTGCAAAAATTAAAATTTTGGACTTGATATAGTTTGAAATGATACTCCTTAAATATCATATTAAAGTAGAAACTGAAGATACACTGCAAATTAGTGAACATTTCTTATTCCACGGAAGTACCCTAGCAGATGAGACAATAGAATTTACAATGGAGATGTAGGAATGTGATGATTAGATTGGGATAATTTTCATCATTGGGTACTTTTTCTTGTAGACTTAAAAGACAACAGCTCTTAGTTAATTGGAGCTGTGACACCGATTATATGAGAAATAAAACAAACCTGATGAGGGGCACCAGCAGGAATAATTACAGCATCCCCATGACACTGTAATATTGTATGAACTTTAATGTTATACTCCCTCTGAAGACATTGTCTAAGGTTCCTATCTAAATACCATTTTTCACCGTGAACAAAATCTTCATGTGGTTGAGAAAGAATACCTCTTTCAAAGGACACTTTTCTCAGAAAATCATTAATTTTATTTTTATCTCGTACATTATATACATGCCATATTGCACCAGGATTATCTCCATCCTTTTTAACCCTTTCCAAAGACTTTTGGTCACATCCTGCATCTCGGATTGCCTGTAAAACTTTTGGCAACATAAATGAAAAGTTATAACACTTTTCAATGAATCATAAATATAACTGATTATTTATGTGAAATTTTGGATTGTATGATGATCTGCATACCTTCATTGTGCTCATAATCATTTTCTCCATTTCTTGATTGTCCAACATAAACTAAAATGTTAACAATGTCAACAATTTTGATGTCTAGTTTTTTGGTTCCCACAGATAGATGATCACTTATGCCATAAGCACATTGCAATTCTGTGCGCAGATCTACATTTAAAAATCCAATAGGTAAATAATTAACAAAATTCAGCAAACCATTTGGATGTGTGTAGGCAGATAATGGCATAGCTTCCAGAAGATCATTCATATGAAATGGCAAGTGTGATTGGAAGTTTGTGCATAGAGGCCACTGTTTTATCTTAAGAAGCATTGATAAACCTTCTTCATCTTTGGGCCGTTTACATAAATTTTCAAATCCATTCCAAAAATACTTTGTAGGCTGTTCTAAAATAATTTCTCCAGTCCTGCAGTTAATTATTGGTATTTTCTCATCACCAAAATCTTGAGAGAATGAATTTGGATTCCATAATTTTTTATTCAGTTTTTCATGAATATGTGAAATAATTAAAGGATATTCATTCTTCCAAACCCTCTGCAATATATAAAAATACATAACTGAGTATCTGTTGTAGAATGAAGTGATATTGAAATAAATGTACCTAATTACACAGATATTTACCAAATTGAATATTTTCTTACCTTATAGTGTTTTAATTATATTGTAAATAGCTGATATTCATGTGTATGTGTATGTGCATAATTGAAAATAAATGTTCTTCAGATGTAGAATGAATATTACATACTACAAACAATATACAATAAGAATAGCTGAAAGCAATATGTGTTTAATTCATGAAATAAATCAAATTTGTTTAGTAGATATTTATAAGAAAATTGTGGATTTGTAATTCCCTGAAATTCATTAAACCTAAACATTTTTGTATAGAGATGGACAATTCATTCTCGTAGGAATATTATATGTTTATGATGCATTCCTTTCTCTGGCAAATTCATTCTTAAATACTGGCGGTTGTCATTATTTCGTGCAAAGAGGTATATTTACAAGCAAATATGCCTATTTATGAGGTACATTTTGCTTACTGTGCATTGACTCACTTGGAATAATACGTAATTCCCACAATGAGTTGGATCCATTAGTCTGAGCAAATGTCCATGACCAAGCCATGTGTGAGGAATGATACTATTAGATTCCTGGTCCTCGATCTCATGATTTATTTCTCTTAAGTGTACTCTTCGGTCGACTCCAACTTGAGAATGGTGGCGCCTTTTGATATTTACTGGATTTACCAAAATAATTTCTGCCTCACACAAACTATCAACACAGACAGTAAGAGTATCAGCATTTCAAGTAACTTCATTTGAATTTTTTTCTAATATTTCTTGGAATACCTTGATTGTGTATGTCTAATATTTCCATTCCTTGGTGTTGACTGCACTTGTTGCGCAGGTTCTTGCTGGCATGACAATGTAAGGTGTGCTGGATAAGTACTCCCATCATATGAATCGCCACCTGTTTCCTGAGAGCAAGACTGCTATAAATACATAGTATAAATATCTACAAAATAAAAGCAAATTAATAGAGCCTATAAATTAGTCCTACTGCTGTACTACAAAATTTAGGTATCTTCTTCTAATAAAAGTATGACTTTACCTTTTTGTTCTCTCTGCAGGCATAAACGTGAAAGAAAGAAAGAAAGAAAGAAAGAAAGAAAGAAAGAAAGAAAGAAAGAAAGAAAGAAAGAAAGA